ATGATGATAATAGTAGCTAGTATTTATTCAGCACTTATCATGTTCAGCTTCATGTTTTACATGCAAGATCGCATTTAGCCTGGAATAAAAACCTTGTGACTGGGTGTGGTGGCTCATACCTGTAATCCTAGCACTTTGGGAGGCTGAGGTGGGAGGATCACTTGAGGTCAAGAGTTCCAGAACAGCCTGAGCAAGAGCAAGATCTCACCTCTACAAAAAATATAAAAATTAGATGAGTGTGGTAGTGTGCTCCTGTAGTCCCAGCTAATTGGGAGGCTGTGGCAGGAGGATCGCTTCGGCCTAGGAATTCGAGGTTGCAGTGAGTTATGATGACACCACTGCACTCTAGCCCAGGCAACAGAGCAAGACCCTATCTCAGAAAACAAAACAAAAGAAAACCTTGTGAAACAAATATTAATAGGCTTATTTTTACAGGTAAGAAAGCTCATGCTTAGAAAAGGTAACGTTACTGAAGCCACACAGCTGAGTGGTAGAAGAAGGATTTAGATTCAGGCCTGTGTGAGTGTAAAGTCCCCAGCACTTCATTGTTATCCTCCACTATATTAGTTTCTTACTGCAGCTGTCACAAATTGCTACAAATTTAATGGTTTAAAAGGACGCAAACTTATTGTGTTACAGTCTGAAGGTCAGTAGTCTGAAATGGGTCTCATTGGGCTAAAATCAAAGTGTTGCTAGGGCTGTGCTCCTTCTGGAAACCTATAGAGGAGATACATGGGAGAGTCCATTTTCTTTTCTAGACCAGCTTCTAGGGACAGCCCACCTTCTTTGACTCTTGGTACCCTTCTATCTTCAAAGCCTGCAAAGGCTGGCTGAGTCTTTCCCACATGGAATCTATCACTCTGACACTTTCTTTTAACTCCTCTGCCTTCATCTTCCACATTTAAGGACCCTTGTCATCACATTGGATTCACCTGAGTAATAAAAAAAAAAAAATCTCCTTTTGCTAAGGTCAGCCAGTTAGCAAACTTAATTCCCCCTTGCCATGGAAATGTGAAAGTTGTTCAGAATCAAAGTAGTGTTTAAAAAAAACTCGTGTTTAAAAAAAAAAAAACAACTTGACAAATAGGGAAGGTCATGAAGAGAGGGTTATTATGCATAAATGCCTGATAACAAAAGCTATCACAAAAGACTTTGCCAAAACCACAACCTTGCACTAAGGCCATCACAACCTTACACAAAAAAATACTTCCGCAGGGACATCTGCCCAGCAACTGCCTGTCCAACCTCTGACTGGCATCAACCTTGTAGGCAAGGATAATTATCTCAAAACAATTATGTAATCCTCCTAATTTTTCCTTTAAAAACCTTTGTCTTCCTTTACCTCCCTGAATACATACATAGTTACTATAGCAAAAGTATTATTGTTGCAATGCCCGATGATTATATAAATATCACCTTCTTTTGGAAAGCCTCTCTCTGTTAGTTTGACAAGTAACATGGCATATTCATAGATTCTGGGAATGTCCAAAGTAAGTGGACATCTTTGGAGGCCCATTGTTTTGTCTACCTCATCCATTGATTATATAGGATAGTCCATTATAGTATAATATTGTGTAGTAAATATGATTAATGGACATTTATTGTTTTTTGTTTCCCTAGCATCTTTTCATCCAAGTTTTGTTGCATTATCCTCACCTCTATCGCCTATAAGGTACATCTTTTCACCCCTTTTGCTGCTAGTGACTCCACCAATCACACAATTTTACTCCTTATAGACTCAATAGGGGACATGGGACAAAAATAGTAATATATCACCCTAGACCCAGTATTGGTTCAAGGAGTGGGCATATGATCCAAGCAGGTCAATCCAAGTTCTTCTACGAGAATTAAGTGGAAGAGAAGTTTCCTCTTTTCCCTTGGATCATGAGCTATAAGACAATGATCCTACAGATGCTAGTGGTCATATGTTTGTATACACATACCCTCCTCCAACAACATATGGAGAAGCTGAAGAGAATGGAGTCAACAGACAAGCAGAAGGCCGCACCACAACTGAGAAGTAGAGATTGGGCAGTTTTGCTATTCAAATCTTACAACTGACCCTGCACCTGGTGCCACCCCTACATGTCAGAGGCTGCCCAATGAGACAATAATTTATGCTATTAATATTTTGCTCAGGCTAGCTTGAATTTGAATTACCGTTGTCCCTTGAACAACACAGGTTTGAACTGCGTGGGTGGGATATTTTTTCAACCAAATGCAGATCTAAGATACAGTGTTCTGGGATGCAAAACCCGTGTACAGGGAGGGCCAACTTTTCCTATACTTCGGTTCCACAGGGCTGACTGCAGGACTTGGGTATGTGTGGATTTTGGTATATGTGGAGAATCTGGAAACAATCTATCAAGTATATCAAGGGATGACTTAAAAATAAATATAAATCAAACATAAGTTATATCCATGTATTTTTAATTTTAGCACATTTCTTGACTGCATTCATAAAATCTATGTTTTCCAAGTGTGAAGTTTGTGTAAGTTCTCATCTCTTGTATGATGGAGGTCTTAAAAATATGTGTTTCTGGAGTATGAGAAGCACAAAAACAAAAGTAACAATCGGCAGAGATTTCTTTAAACACTACTAACATTTTACTTTCCCCAAATTATATTGATAGATTTTTGGAATGGGGCACTCATGTTGAATAGTAGGAAGAATAAGCAGTTTTAAAAGGAATGCACAAAAAATACAGATAAATAACAAAAATGAACTTTTAAAATATATGTATCTTTTTAGTTTTTTGAAGCATTTTTACAAAGTTATGGGTGTGTGTGTGTGTGTGTGTGTGTGTGTATTCGTCCCCAGCCACTATGGAGGATAATCTGATGGCACCGAGGGCTAAAGAAAAAGATTTCCTGACAAATTGAACTGTTGCACCAACCAACTGGATGCACAGCAGTGTTCTATCTTTTCATCAGACATCCACAGGAAAGAAATTATCTGATTCATTCAAGGACTATGTTCCCAAGCTATAATAATTAGTACATTTAACCAGGTTCAATAACCTTGAATAAGTGGCTTTTTTTTTTTTTTTTTGCCAGGGACAGTTTTAGGTGCTTAACATACATTAACTAATGTAATTCTCCAACAATCCTATGAGCGGTGTTTTCAGTAAGCAGAATTGCAAAGATGCCCCTCTCCAAAGATTTTCATCCTCTGATTATTCAAGATACTGTTCTGAAGGGACTTGGCAGATGTGATTAAAATTATGTACCTTAAGATGGGGAGGTTATTCTGGATTATTTGGGAGTGCCTAATCTAATAATCATTTGAGCCCTTATAAACAGCGAACTTTCCCAGGCTGGAGTCAGAGAGATTTGGCAAAAGAAGGCAAAGGAGAGACGATGCAGGAGAGATCAGAGCAATTTAAATTGTGAGGAGGACTTAACCTGCTATGGAAGCTTTGAAGATGGAGAGAGGGGGCCACAGCCATGAAGTGCTGATGGCCATTAAAAGCTGAGAATCATCTAAAAGCCAGCAGGAAAACAAGAACTGCAGGGAACTGAGTGTTGCCAACAACCTGAATGAACCTGAAAGCAGATTCTCCCCTAGAATCTGTGAGGAACACAGCCCTGCCAATACTTTACCAGTGCAGTTCTAGGTTAGAAGAAACTAAAGAGTTATAAGCACTAATTTCAGGAAGATCCTTGATTAGATTCTGGTCATGGATGGGATAGGGAATAATTTTAAAGAATATTGTTGAAACAACTGGGGAAATTTTAATTTGGCCTATTTATTAGATAATAGCACCTCACCAATGTTAAATTTCCTGAGTATGCAGTTGTATTGTGGTTATTTATGAGAATGCCCTTGTTCTTAGGAGATACGTGCTCAAGTATTTGGGGTGAAGTATCATCATCACTGTGTATGTAAGCAGAGATAAAGCAAATGTGTAAACTGTTAACATTTGGTGAATTAGATGAAGGGTATACATATGTTCATCGAACAATTTTTATAACTTCTCTGAAAAAAATTTTCCAGTTTTTCAAAATAAAAAGTTGGCTGGAAAACAATCGCTCTAGATAGTCTGTGTAGAATGGATTTGAGGTGAATAGGAGTGTTAGGTCCGAAGTTGGGAGAGAGAGACTCAGGAAGCCTCATGTGTAGCAAAGCGCTGTTTATTTTGAGCATCTGGGTGCAGATGGATGGAGGCGAAAAAGCGTCCACCCCCAGGGAGGGAAAAACTTTGGGTTTTATAGAGGGTTTTTTTTTGGGGGGGGGGCGGGTCAGTGACATCTGCAGGGATAAGGGAGGGGCTAGCTTCAGTCCTTATCAGGAGAGAAAGGGAGGAATAAACTTCATCCTTATCAGGGAAAAAAAAGAAATGCCAGCGTTGTTACAACTGTCTGTAGTCGAAGTTAAATTTATGACCCTGGGCTATCCAGACTCCTGCGGCTTCTGCTTGACAGGCTTTATGATATTTTTCGGGTTCTCACCCGGAACAAACCTAATGAGAGAAGTGGGAAAACCGGATGGGAAGGTATTGATGCAGTTAGGTTGACGGTTGGTGTAGGACAGTGACCGCGGGGATACAGAAAAGCATTCTCCCCGCACACACCTATGCCAGTGAAGTAAAACCAAGTGACGGAAATTCATCTTATAACTATCGTCCCCACAGAAATCTCCCTCTCAGCAAACTTCCAAGAGGAGCGGGTGTGGCACTCCAGCCGCTTTCAAATTTGCTTAGGAAGTTTGCGCTGGCGCAGAAGCGACACTCTGTGCTACAGACTGGAAGAGCCCACATCTATAGCTTTAGACGGGGGAGGCGACATCCTACATTTGAACTAGTACTTCATTTCACAAAGTATCTCCCAAGTCTTCGGCCTTTTCTTCTGCAATACCTTTCCTGTTGTTCAGTAACTGCTTAAAACTGGTGTTTGAGACAAAAGATGAGTTACACAAAGATGCTTGTTTCCGGTGCCCCTACCTCCGCGGCGTGCGCCCTGCCGCCAGGGGCAGGAAGCGGAAGCGGAAGTGTTGGCTAGGGGGGGACAGTCCGCTTGAGTCCGCGGCGCAAGCCCTGGACGCTTGTCATGGAGGGGGTTTGCGAGCCGCTGCTGGATGCTAAATCCCAGGTAAGTCCCGGCCTGGAAGTTGAGGGGACAGCAGGGCTTTGGAGCAAGAAAAATCTTTCCCTAAGTGATGTTTTCTGCTTCCGTTTCAGGTGACCAACCAGGTGAGTGAGTGGCCGCCCCGCCCTGTCCTTAGCCGGCCCCCGCGGGGCGAGGAGCGGCGACAGCCCTGGGCCCGCCTCCCACAGCCAGGGGACGGTACCATCGGGAGCCTTCCCGCCTTCTTCCCCCAGTCCAGGGCCTGTGTCCGTGAGCCAGTGACCTTCAGCCAGCCTCCCTGTATGGCTCCTTTCTCTTTGCACCTGAGCTGGTAGCCGCTGCCATTGTCATTAAAGCTTCCCCACTCACCCCAGCCCAAAGAATACAGACCAAGTATTGTTCTTCTTTGATTAGACAACATTTATTCGAAGCTAGGAACACACTATTTTAGAATGTGATGGATATAGAAGAAATCGCTAAAGTTTACAAAGATAGCATCGCAGACATTTTTTTAGTCCCTAAAAAAAGTTATTTTGAAGTTGGAGTATATAACTTTTTAACCTTTTAAGAGTATATATTTTTGTATGCTGGGAATAAGAATTTGACTTTTGAAAGTATATCTTAGGACTCTTTGTTTCAAATGTTCTTATGCTGTTTTAGTTAATAAGCTATTTTTAGACAGATAACTTATAACACTTTCCAGAAGAGTACTAAAACTAGAATACTTTAGGTCAGGAGTCTGTACAAAATATAAGAAAAGGCTGAGGTAAGAAATAATGAGAATACAGGGGCTGAGAGAGGTGTCCATTGTCTGGTCTCTGTCATTTCTCTCCAACTGACCCTGCTGTAGCCTTTGAGGATTCCTGGGGAACTCAGGTAGGGGGACTCAGATAGTTATGAACCCTCTACCTGACTTCACTCAGAGTTACATGAATTAGTGCACTTTGATTCCATCTCTCATAAATCATTTTATCTATTCGCTTACATTAAATCATTTGTTTTGGTAAGATAGCCTGAAACTGAATTATACTAGTTATAGGATTTTAAAAATTGAACTCCTTTTTTGGCTTAAAACAACACAAATGTATCTTTTACAGTTTTGGAGGTCAGAAGTCCAAAACTAGTCTTATGGGGCTAAAATCAAGGTGTAAGCAGGGCTGTGTTCCTGTTGGAGGCTATAGGGGAGAATCTTATTGCTCCTAGAAGCTGTATTCCTTGGGTTGTGGCTTCTACTTCTGTCTTCAAAGCACACCATTTCAACCTCTGCTTCTATATTCACATTGTCTTCTCTGATCTTCCTACCTCCCTCTTATAAGGACCCTTGTGATTACATTGGAACAACCTGGATAATCCAGGAAAATCTCCCTGTGTCAAATCCTTAATTTTGTTCACATCTGCAAAATTTGTTTTGTCCCCTAAGGTAACATATTCACAGATTTTGGAGATTAGGTCATGGATGTATTTGGGGGAACATTATTCGGCCTACTACACATTTCATCTATGTAGTCGTTTATAGTTATATAATCACATAAGAAAAGCCAAGATAATTTATAGATAATTAGAGTTAATATGAGAATTTAGCTCAGGGATTCAACTGTTTTCCTATAGTTTAGACACAAAGACTTGGAATATATAATTTTAAAGAAGATGTAATTTACAACATTAAGAAATTATAAAGTACCTTGCAATAAATCTAACAAAAGATGTTTAAAATCTTCATGAAGAAAATTATAAAAAGTGACAGACCTCTAGTTTCTGATCCAGCATGTAAGGAGCTTGGAAGTCATTGCTGTCTCCTAACAACAAGTAAAAGCTGAACAACTGAAAAACCTACAACTCTTCTTATCTGTGAGGTTACAGGGCAAACCGCTGTCCCCAAAATTGGTGAGACAGACTGGCAAACAGAATCACAATTTACCAGAGCAGAAGGCCCACAGATTCTAATGCCTAAACTGTAATTGACAAATTGCTGGAGGCTGGGTCTGGACAAGCCTCAGAGTTAAAAACTCTAGGAGGACTCTCACACTTTTGTGAGGTTTTTTTTGTTTTTTTTTTGAGACAGAGTCTCACTTTGTTGCCCAGGCTAAAGTGAGTACCTTTGAGTCAGCCTAGCTCACAGCAACCTCAAACTCCTGGGCTCAAGCAATCCTGCTGCCTCAGCCTCCCGAGTAGCTGGGACTACAGGCATACATCACTATGCCTGGCTAATTTTTTCTATATATATTTTTAGTTGTCCATATAATTTCTATTTTTAGTAGAGACAGGGTCTCGCTCTTGCTCAGGCTGGTCTCAAACTCCTGAGTTCAAATGATCCACCTGCCTCAGCCTCCCAGAGTACTAGGATTACAGGTGTGAGCCACTGCACCTGGCCTATACTTTTTAAATGTACCAGATATACCTAATATTTAGAGCTAATGTTAGTTTGAATTCCATGAGCTATAGTGTCATGTTTTTTTCTTTAAACATTTCTTTGTCACCAACATATGAATCTGCCAGGTTAATTAGGACCTTACCTCCAGTGAGAGTTCAAAAGAATGGGAAGTTTATAATTAAAATTAGTGTTATCAATACTACAAATAGCAATACTACTTCTAATATTATAGCTACTATTTGTTGATTGTTTGCTCTTTGCTAGCCACTACCCCAGGAATGTGCTTCGTAATCCACACAACAATCCAGTAAGGGTAGGTATTCTAATTATCTGTGCATAAAGAGGACACAGAATTTCAGTACTGATAATAGGTGCTGAAATTTAAATTCTTTAATGGAAAATAAGTATACTTCCTTTTTGGCACTGAGTGTTAATATAAGAAGGGATTGGGGAACTGTTAATGTGAGTAAAGTCCTTGAGAAATTTTGGGGCTAATACTGCATTGAGGAATTAACTAAATTGTATTTATAAGGAAGAGCCAGTCATAATTTTAGAACTTAGGCTCTTTTTCAAAAATTTCTTTTGTGAAGTATGATTTGCTTAAACTCAGCTCTATTAAGTTATTGAGGTTAGTAAGTGATAGCCATTACACTTCTCTAAATATATTTGCAGTTTATATTTTTAAATTCCAGTCAGTAATAATAATTGAGCACTAAACTTTTTCTAAGGAGTCCCTGCACTGACATACAATTATCATGACTCCATGGAGTAAATACAGTTATCCTCATTTATTTACTCTTCAGCTCTCTTTTTTTAACTTCTCTCACCAAATTATGACTATTCCTTCCTCACCCTCTGCTGATGACCATACTTATATAACTGAGAAAATAAAATCACCCAGAAGAGGATTTTTTTCATTTTTCCCATCCCCACATTTAGCATTTTGCCTGTCTTTGTACTCTGCCTTACCTTCTGTATTTATGAATGCATTGTTGGCGGGTCCGTCTAAGGCCAACCCCTCTTCTTGTAAAATCAATTCTATCCTCACCAACAGAAGAACTATAATTATTGCTTTTTGCCTCCATAATTCCACAATTGACATTTCTTCACTGTACCAAATCACTACCAAATATGTGCTGGTGACATCTTGAAAAAAAGCTTTTTTTTGTTGTTCTCATCCACCTTCAGCTAGTCTCCTGTATATGTTTTTCTCTACAGCAAAACTTTACTGAGACATCTGTACTGACAGTGTCTGCTCACCTCCCCATTCTCTCTCAAGCCCATTCTCCTAAGGCTTTTATACCCTACTCTTGTCAAAGTCACTATTGATCCCTATGTTACCAAATCCAGTGGGCCAATTTCAGTCCTCATCTTATCTGACCTCCCAGCAACATTGACACACTTGATTACTTTCTCCTTGAAACACTTCATTTCTCCTCTAGGAGTCATTCTTTTGGTTTTCCTCCTACCTCACTGCTTGTTCTCCTGGAGGCTCCTTTGCCTCTCCTCTTCATAATCTCTGTTGTGTTCCAGGGTAGGTTCCTCAGAGCTCGTTTCTCCCTAATCACTTCCTAAGTGTTTTCATCCAATCTAAAGACTACATATATACCATCTATATGCTCATGATCCAAAATGTATATATCCAGCTCCAGTGACTCCCCTGAATACCTGGCTCACTATTCAATTGTTCACTTGCCATCTTCCCTTGGAAGTCAGGTGTTTTAAACTTAAAGTGTTCAAAACCACAGACTTGATTCCCACCCTCCAGGCCCCCCTCCCAACACCTGTTTTCCCAATGTCTCTCATCTCAGTAAATGGTCCTGTCATCAGGGCCAAAACGTTGGAGTTAATGTTGGAACTTGAGACGACTCTTTTTCTCACACCTTGTGTACAATCTATCAGCATACTGTTTTCTCTATTTTAAAAAATATACTCAAAATTCACCTCTCCATGCTGCCACCTGGGCCCAGCCCACCATACTCTTTCCTTGAATGCTGTGCCTTAGCCTCCCAAATGGGTCTCCCTCTGCTTTCTCTGATAAACTTAATGTCTTCCCCCATTAATCTGGATGAGCCTTTTGCAATCTCCCCTCTACTGTTCAAATCTTTTTAAGGAATTCTCATCAGAAAAAAGTCTTAAGTTATTTACCTTGGCCTACAGGGCTTTTCAAAACTGGATTCCTCATCTCTTACCACTGTTCCTAGCTCATGCTCTTCCAGCCACATGTTCTCTGAACATGCCAGACATGCTTCTCCCTCCATCATGAATGCCCTTTTCTTCCAGAGATCCTGTGGCTTTTCCCCTTCACTTTATTCCAGTTTCTTTCTACTCAAAAGCCACCTCCTCAAAGAGGTTTTCCCGGGCTTTATCTAAATAGTTTTCTTGATCACTCGTCTGTACCTTACCCTGTATTTTCACACTGTTTATAATACTACAGTTTCATTCATACTTGTTTATTGTCTGTCTTCCCCACTAGAATGTAAATTCCAAAATATATCTTCACTGCCTAACATAGTATTACTTAGTAAAGACTAAATAATGGGGCCTCCCTCCCTTACTCAAAATATATATGAGCCGTTAATTTTATAGATAGTTTTTTATTTTTTTTTTTGAGACAGAGTCTCACTTTGTTGCCCAAGCTAGAGTGAGTGCTGTGCCGTCAGCCTAGCTCACAGCAACCTCAACCTCCTGGGCTCAAGCAATCCTTCTGCCTCAGCCTCCCGAGTAGCTGGGACTACAGGCATGCGCCACCATGCCCAGCTAATTTTTTCTATATATATTAGTTGGCCAATTAATTTCTTTCTATTTATAGTAGAGACAGGGTCTCACTCTCACTCAGGCTGGTTTCAAACTCCTCACCTTGTACAATCTGCCTGCCTCGGCCTCCCAGAGTGCTAGGATTACAGGTGTGAGCTACCACGCCTGGCCTATAGATAGTTTTTTTTTTTTTTTGAGACAGAGTCTCACTTTGTTGCCCAGGCTAGAGTGAGTGCCGTGGCGTCAGCCTAGTCACAGAACCTCAAATCCTGGGCTCGAGTGATCCTTCTGCCTCAGCCTCCCGGGTAGCTGGGGACTACAGGCATGCGCCACCATGCCCGGCTAATTTTTTTGATATATTATCAGTTGGCCAATTTAATTTCTTCTATTTATAGTAGAGACGGGGTCGTCGCTCTTGCTCAGGCTGGTTTTGATCCCTGACCTTGAGCAATCCGCCCGCTCGGCCTCCAAGAGCTAGGATTACAGGCGTGAGCCACAGCGCCCGGCCCTATAGATAGTTTTTATAGTGGTGTTTTTATATAACTAATAGCTTTAGCCTTTATATCAATTACTTTTTAGTGTTACTACTAAAGCTAATTTCTTTGTTTACTTTTTTAATCTAAATTTGCTTTCTGATTATTTTTCTTTGTATTCATTTTAGTTATGGATGTTTTTATATTTCATTTTTACTACTAGCTTTTTTGTTTGCATATTTTGCTTTTTTAATCTTTTTCTTTATAAGAATTTTAGGGCTACCATGTACATTATTTTATTCTTAATATTCTCCATAGTGGTAAGTGTGCTCGCCGTTCTAATTTTTTTCTTTTGTACTTTTTTTTCTTTTTAAAAATCTTCTGTGCAGTAATTACTATTTAAGGTTAAACCACATTTATTAGAAGGTTTGCTTTTAATTTGCATTTCAGTGTTGAGTTTAGAATTTTGGAAATTCTCATCTCATACACCTAATCCTGGCTTTATTCATGAATACTAATTTTGCACAGTAAATGTCTTGATGGCAGCTTTCCTTATTTCCTCACCTGACAATTTCACTGTTTCAATGGTCAATGGATTCCAACATTGTGCTCCTTAATTGCCTTTCTGCTTGAAATTTTCTAGGTAATCCAGTTTTATTTCAGAACCTGAGAGTCATAGGCAATGTTTTACTCTAACATTTTACTGTGAATGGTAAAAATGAAAATTATTCCATCAAGGAGTTGAACAGGCTGAATAAGATTAAGAAGTTCCTAGTTCAATTTTTGGAGATCACTATTGAACTGAAATAAAAACTATCTCTATTCATGAATTCCTTTGAATTCTGTTCTTAGATATTTAGCCATTTATCAAACATTCCTATCGAGTTATACCTAACATCACCTCTTAATGATACCTTTGGACTTAAAATATATAAAGTCCTGATTGATACATGATATCAGCATTCTCCCAGTTATCCAGGCTCAGTTTTTTATAAGTTATCTATAAGCAACTATAGTTGTATCTCATGATTATTTAGATAATCATTAAGACCTAGTGATGAATTCTTCATAGGATCAGCTTAATCCTACTTGTCACCACCTTGGTTCAGGCACTTATAACCTCATACTTGAATTATTGTGTTCTGCTGCCACCAGATGAGTATATCTTAATATTTTGATATCATTCTCTTTACTTGAAAACTTTCAGTAATTCCCCATTGTTAGGAGAAGTTTAAATGACTTAATGTGATAAGTTTTCCATAGTAAAATAAAATATATGAGAGTATGTTGAAAAGCTCAGAAAGCTCAATTTGCAAAGAAATATTGGCTTTTTGATCACTTTTGTCAACTTTATTTTCCTATTTCCTTGCAAGAGCCTTCTACTTTAAGATAAATAAATGTTCTATCCCTCAAATGGTGACTATTTTCCTCTATAGTTGGTTCAGCTTAATATTTATTAAGCATTTATTCTTTGCTAGGTATATATTTTTGGAATGTATAAATATGACAAATTTTCCTCTCAATTCCAGTTCTGTTTATTCTTCAAAACAGGGCTTAAAGCTTATCTCCTCTGTAAAATTTTCTCCCTTGATCTCCCTTGACTACAATAAATTTTTCCTTTCAACCAGAAATGTGGTACTCACTGATTTGCATTTCTTTCTCTTTCTACTATATGTGCAAGGTAGTATATGTACAAAAAAGTGCATAAATATGGACAGTTTAATGAGCCATTTAAAAGTGAATACCTGTGTAACCACAATCAACAGTCAAGAAATGGAACATTACCAGTACCCCTGAAGCCCACCACATATCTCTCCCAATCACCCCACTTCCACCCTAAAGGTGTGATTATCCTTTTTGTCCTTCTGTATTATTCGTATTCTTACTTCTCTTTATAGTTTTACTACCTGTTCCTCAAGTTGAAGTGAATGGAATTATATAACTTTTCAACTTGTTTCTTTTAACATTTTTGGTGTTAAGTGTAACAGAAGTTTGGCCTGGCACAGTGGCTCATGCCTGTAATCCTAGCACTCTGGGAGGCCGAGGCACCAGCCTGAGCAAGAGCGAGACCCCTGTCTCTACTAAAAATAGAAAGAAATTAATTGGACAACTAAAAAAATATATAGAAAAATTAGCCAGGCAGGGTGGCGCATGCCTGTAGTCCCAGCTACTTGGCAGGCCAGGAGTTTGAGGTGCTGTGAGCTAGGCTGATGCCGTGGCACTCTAGCCTGGGCAACACAGTGAGACTCTGTCTCAAAAAAAAAAAAAAAAAGTGTAACAGAAGTTCGTTCATATTCATTACTGTATAGCATTTCATTTATTTTATTACTGATGAACATTTGGGGTGTTTACAGTTTAAGACTATTACAAATAAAGCTACTAGGAGTATTCTTATGTATTTACATAATGCACAAGTTTTTCTGGGTTATATCCCCAGTAGAATTGCTAGGTCACAGTGTGCATAACTTTAGTTTTATGATGAAAAGCCAGTTTTCCAAAAGATTGGCCCAATTTAGACTTACATCAACAGCATGTGACACTTCCTTCCTTGCCAGGACCTGAAATTGTGAGACTTAAATTTTTTCCATTTGGTAGGTGTGTAATAGTAGCTCATTGTAGTTTTAATCTGTATTTCCCTCTTCCTTAATGAAGGTAAGCACCTTTTCATATGTTTATTAGCCATTTATAGTTCTTCTTGACTTTCTTACTGTCCCTTCTCCATTTTTGTGTGAAGAAATTTTATTTAAAATGAGTTTATACAGTCTTTTTACTTATTAAAGATGTCAACCTTTTATCAGAACCATCTTGTCCTTAATGCTATAGCAGATTTGTCCAGAGCCAGTCTGAGACAGGAGGAAATTTTGGTCTTCATATCAATCCCACCTTTCATAAAAAGAAATGTATTAACAAGCCAAGCTTTTTGCCAGCACAGTATTAGTTTGGTAGCAAAAGGTATCCAGTCAATAAGCAAGTATTTTTTGAGTAACTGGTATATACCAGGCTGAACTTTGGAAACAAGACAGACAAGATTCCTCCACCTACAGTCTTATGTTTTAGAGCAGGGGTCCTCAGACCTTTTAAACAGGGGGCCAGTTCACTGTCCCTCAGACCGTTGGAGGGCTGTTGGAGAGTGCAGCACACATTCTACACATGCACACTGTGGGCCCGGGACGAGTCGGCTGCTAAGCAGGATAGGCAGCGGTGGCAAAAACACCCTGCGGGCCGGATAAATGTCCTCGGCGGGCTGCATGTGGCCCATGGGCCATAGTTTGAGGACCCCTGTTTGAGAGTTACTATTAAGAGCAGCATTTACCCAATACTGTTTTATGACATGGCATCACTGAATAATCATTGACAGTAATTGGATAAAAAGTATTTAAGCAGCCAGTAGTCAATAAGCATATAATCTTTGGAGTCAAATAACTTTGGTTTCGATTCTGATTCCAAAAACATATGGCCTTATACATGCACATTACCTAAGCTCTCTGAAATTAGGTTTTGTCATCTGCAAAATGGAAATAATAACCTATAATATGATGGTGATTCAGTGAGGCACTTAATACATGTGGAATGCATAGCACATCACCTGGGTCATGTATCTGTCATGAATGCTGATGCAATCAAAAATACCTTGCCACTATTTATGCTAACATAAAGTTTTAGCCTGAAGACTATGTTGAGGTAAGAAATGGAATGATTCCATGTATGCCTCAACCAACTATGAAGATCATATATTATAACCCATCTTGCATTTTACTTTTGGGGTATGGAATGAGGGAAGGCATGGAACAAGAAAGTAAAAGTAAAAGATGCTCCAAAGCATTTGTAGTCCCCTAAAGTACAGAAGCAAAATTGAAGCCTATTAGGGAAAACCAGCACAGCCACATCTTCCTTCCACTTCCATTGTACATTGGGTAGAGTTTTTTCATTTTTTCACTTTTTGCTTTTTCCCTTTTGTAACTATGACAGTGTTGTTTTCTAACTCTGTTTATAACCCATATTACCTTTTCATTTGATTATTATTCCTTTAGCAATATTAAAATGAAGATAAATAAATATCTGCATCCAAAGCAGTGTTACTACTATTGTTTTGTGCTCTTTTATTAAAGCTTATAGATTTTCAGTGGAAACTGGGAATGGCTGTGAGCTCCGACAGTTGCAGATCTCTTAAGTATCCTTATGTTGCAGTGTTGCTAAAAGTGGCAGATCATTCAGGCCAAATAAAGAACAAGTCCTTTGAAATGACAATTCCGCAGTTTCAGGTTTGTGATTTAACTCATTTTAATTTTAGTTAATTCTTCTGTAGTTGATGCTTAAAAATATGTATAAAATCTTTCTTAAGAGAAAATTTTACATTTATTTGTAAATTGACATGCCTAACATTTATTAGTAGCACACACAAAAGATCTAAGTTTGTTTTCTTTGGAAATTTAATAAATTATTTTCAATATAAGGTGCTGAATTTGTGTACTATGCCATTTGATCACTATAACAGTACTCCTCTGTGAGTAAACATAGGAAATTTTCATTTTTTCTGGCAGGCTGTTTACTTTGTAGTTAACTATTTTATTCTTATTCTTTTAGGCTTAATATTCAAGAATGTTAAGCTAAATGAATGTTTTCTTTGAGTAGTGATGACCCTGAATTTTCTGACAATTAATGTTTACAAAAATACAGATCACAGCAACTGTACTTGTTGACTGTTTTTTATTTTATTTTATCATATTATGGGGGTACATATATTGTTAGGGTTACATATATTGTTCCCCCTGCCATTTCTCCCCCCCCTTGTTGACTGTTTTTATCAGCTAGAGATTTAAGTAACTCAGTAGTTTATATTCAGAGTTATGTTACTCATATTATCATCTTATCTCTTTTTTCTAACTGAGGAAGACAAAAAGAGGGTGGGCAATAAGTCAGATTTTCTTTTGAAAATACTAGGAGATGTTTTGTCATTAATTTAACTGTTCTGTACAATTTTGGTTTTGTTTGTTTTGATCCCTTTGGTGAGTGAATAGATAAGAATCTCATAGCAGTTAGTACTTTAAAAGTCAAGAAAAGCAACGATAGTGGATGAAATGGAAATAAAAAGTGAATTCTTTGTAAAATTAACTAATAATATACATTGGTCCTAGACTTCCTTTTTAAGAAAAGCCTCTCATATACCACCATTTATGATACTTTTAATTTCTTCTTTTGTAAGCTACATTTTAAGGAATTTATTTCCCTTTGATTTCTTTCTTTTAAAATAGATATCCCTGCTTTAAAACAAAAATAATGGTCACTGATTTAACATTATTAATGTTGATTAGTGTCTTGGAAGGAATTGGGACTTGGTACAAAGGAAATAAATGTAGTATATTGTGATACGGGAGTAGCCATCAACTGAATATGAAGACTAAATCAATTTCAAAAGAGAATATAGGTTTCAATCCTTTTCGTGGAATTCACAGAGCTGGCCTAATTCTTACTTCTGTGTGTAGCATCCATGCTCTCTGATTCCACCTCTAGAAATTTTTTTTTCCATAGGAAAAATGTTACAAATGAAGCAATCCCCCCCCGCTTTATTGCCATATAATTGACAAATAAAAATTATATATTTTCGAAGTATACAACTTGATGATTTGATGAACATATACATTGTGTAATGATTACCACAATCAAGCTAATTAACAAATTCATCAACACACATAGTTACCCTTTTGTTTTTAATTGGGGTGTGTGTGTGTGGTGAGAACACTTCAAATCTAGGCCCCTAGCAAATTTCAAATAGTACAATATTATTAACTGTAGTCACCATACTATACATTAGATCTTCAGACTTCCTCATTTTATAACAAAAAGTTTGCATGTTGGTTTTTTTTTTTTTTGGTTTTCTTGGTGGTTGTTGTTAAGAGACAGGATCTTCTGTTGCCGAGGCTGGAGTGAAGTGGTACGATCATAGCTCACACTGCTGGGCTCAAGCTATCCTCCTGCCTCAGCCTCCCGATTAGCTAGGTCTACAGGCACTCACTAGCACACCAGCTAATTTTTTTACTTTTTGTAGAGACTAGATTTTGCTAACTTGCCCAGGCTGGTCTCCAACTTCTGGCCTCAAATGATCCTCCTACTTTGGCCTCTCAAAGTGCTGGGATTACAGGTGTGAGCCTCTGTGTCCAGCAGATCTTTTGGATAGCTAAAATTTTGACCATCAGTAAGTATTTTTAACAAAATAGTTACACCATGCTTCATTCTGTGACAGGTTTATCTATAAATTAAAAGAAAATTCTTAAGTAGCAAAATAAAAAATTAAGACCAAATAAAAAGGAAAATAGAACTATGTAAATCATTACAGGGTATCCTAATTCCTGGGGTTAAGTTTCAAATTTGCCTCTTAGCTTTCTGCCAGGTACAGGAAAAGAAAGGAAAACAGAATTTCTTTGATCCCTCTCTCACCCGAGATTTAGAAAAAAGAACACGACTTCTACAGGAGACACACCATTACCAGCTTAATTTTTAAATGACGGAAAGACTTCTACCATACCCATTGTTAATGTTGAGTCTCTCTTATTGTAATTGAACCCATAATCTTAAACAAGACATCCCTTACTACCCTGAAATACATTCTTTCACTAGATTTAAAGTGTATTGAGGCCTGGAACTACCTGTCTTTCTTTGTTTTTTATCTTCAGTGTTTAGGACAGTGTGGGGTATTTAATAAATCTTTCCTGTGTGATCTTGGTTTTTTTTTTTTGAGACAGAGTCTTGCTTTGTTGCCCAAGCTAGAGTGAGTGCCGTGGCATCAGCCTAGCTCACAGCAACCTCAAACTTCTGGGCTCAAGCAATCCTCCTGCCTCAGCCTCCTGAGTAGCTGGGACTACAGGCATGCGCCACCATGCCCAGCTAATTTTTTTCTATATATATTAGTTGGCCAATTAACTTCTTTCTATTTATAGTAGAGACAGGGTCTCGCTCTTGCTCAGGCTGGTTTTGAACTCCTGACCTTGAGCAATCCACCCACCTCAGCCTCCCATAGTGCTGGGATTATAGGCGGGAGCCACCACACCCAGCTCCTGTGTGATCTTAAAATAACTTTCTCCTGTGCTTTTTAAAAAGTTTGGTCATGAGCTAAGTATCCAACTCCACAATAGTAAAAGTGTATCTGTTTGTGTCTTTAGTAGCCTTCAAAAGTTGAGAAGGTAACATTAAAATGCAAACTTAATATGTTGTATAGCCTCTGATAATCAGATGTAATTAAAAGAGCTATTTAAATATCCTCAAAAAGCATAATTAATATTATTTTTTTCCCTTTCTCTCCAGAATTTCTACAGACAATTCAAGGAAATTGCTGCAATTATTGAAACTGTGTGAAAACTGATTATTAAATTGCTGTCATTATTCTAAAATCATGGGCTTCGCTTTCTGCAGCAAAACTGCATGAGGATCAAGTGGTATTTATTGAATGAAAATTATACTTTTGTTTTTCCATTTTTTTAAATAATAAAAAATCCGATAAACAGGAATTAGTGGTGATCAATGCACGACTTTGTGAATGTACTGAAAGTGAATTGAACACTTTTATACCTTGTGGTGTGTGAATTATATCTCAATAAAAAATAAACACTTGAATGATGTTGAGGGCAGCACAAGTTTAAGTATTAGAATGATTTAGTTTTAAAATTTATGGGTAGTGGAACCCATTTTATAAACAAATCTTATATATAAACTATATATAAATAAGAAAAGTAGTATTTGATTAGGATAACTTTACAAATTCAATTTTATAACATTCACTTACTATAAAGGCCACCAGTGAGACAAATCATGCTTTTCCCAAACATTTGGAATCAGGTTTAGACTGACAGTTGTTCCCTAGACCAGGGGTCCTCAAGCATTTTAAACAGGGGGCCAGTTCACTGTCCCTCACACCATTGGAGGGCTGGACTATAGTTTTTAAAAAAACTATGAACAAATTCCTATGCACACTGCACATATCTTATTTTGAAGTAAAAAAACAAACAGGCAAAAACACCTGCATGTGGCCCCCGGGCCGTAGTTTGAGGACGCCTGTTTAAACAGTATTAGCCTACCATTCTATTGTTTCTGCTATTAATAGTTCTAGAAAGTTCAAACACATGCACAGAGTTGGAAAGATAAGTTTTATTATGAGTTCTATACAACTGAGTTAACCTGTTAGTACAAATTATTGTGTTAGATGATCTCTGTTGAATTTAAATTTATAAACCTGTTGTTAAAATATTTTATAAAAAGTTTTACCACTGTATGGCATTGGTTAAAGAATAAGTAGGTCACTAGAGTAGAATAGGTGGTCTAGGAATAGATCAAGACATTCTAATCCTCTATATTGGAAATTGATGTCCTTATCACATCCTGTCAACATTTCTACAGGTCTCCTATGTGAATCCACTTACTTTTGTTTTCCACTAGGTAGCACACTGCTGTGAGGAGCCCAGATCTGCTGCCTGTGCACTCAGGGTCCACCAGCTTGATGAGTTAGCTGACTGACAATTTGCACATACCAACTGCCCACAGACATCTCTGTTATCTACCTCTGGACACATGCATATTAATGATTCTTGAATTCTGAGAAATCAAAGTCTCCTCTATCCCTTCCTCTATCCTATGGGGTACTAGCTTCACTGTACTCTTAGAAATAAGAATAGAAAGCCCTATATCTGGGTTAAAATAACATATTTGCCTTCCCAAAACTGTTATAAGGTCCCTTTATCTCCCACTCACCCCAGTTTAACACCTTCCACTCTCCCCCTCATTTGCATTGTAGCATTTCTAGGTTTAAGGAAAGAGGCAAAGAAGCTCAAAAGTAGCCCCTGGCTCAAACACCATGGATGAAAGATTTGAAATGAATTTAAATTGAATGTTTAAATGTATCTTCTGAATTTAAAAAGCAAGATTTTTTCATAATATAGTTTTATATTATTTTCATTACAAATATCTATATTTGCCTATTAGGAGCTCAGTCAGCTTCACTGGCCTAGCCTGGGAATTAACTACTATTTATAATAACATTTCTGTGGGAAAATGTGTTTCAAGTTTCAAACACTTGACTTAAATGTAAACTTTTGGGAAACAACTCATTCTCAAATTGGAAAATGTATGAATAAGCTTTTAGTTTTCCAAAGAAAATAGATTGCCCCTGAGCTCATCAAGCAAAACCCAAGTATTTTCATATACTCTGCTACTAAAACAGGTTAATATAAGCGATTTATGTATAAGGAGGGCAAAATTGTCACATTTTTAAAAAGGGATGGAAACCTCCAACACCTTGGTGCCACTTTTTTAAAAACTGCTTAAATGGAATTATCTTCAAATGTTTAAAAATCTTTTGTACTTTAGATTTTTAAAGATAAACTTATTTTTTTTGAAGTTTAAGTTTTATAGAAAAATTGCAGAGATAAGCTGGGCTTGGTGGTTCGCCCATGTAAACCTAGCACTTTGGGAGGCTGAGGTGGAAGGATCACTTGAGGCCCAGGAGTTTGACACCAGACTGAGCAATATAGAGAGACCCCTGTCTCTACAAGAAATAGAAAAAGCAGCTCAGTGCAGTGGTTCATGCCTGTAGTCCCAGCTACTCACGAGGTTGAGGCAGGAAGATCGCTTAAGCCAAGGAGTTCTGGGCAACAGAGTGAGACTGTGTCTCAAAAAGCAAAAACAAAAAAATAAGTAGAGATAGTACAGAGTTCCAATATTTTCTACACTCAGTCTCCCATATTATTAACATCTTCCATTAGTATGGCACATTTGTTGTAATTAATGAGCATTGATACTGATACATTAAATTTCTTTAGTTTTTGTGTACTATCCTTTTTCTCTTCTAGGATCCTATCCAGGATACTATATTACATTTAGTTGTCCTGTCTCCTTAAGCTAATACTGCCTATGACAATTTCTTAGACTTTCCTTGTTTTTATGACCTTGACAGCTTTGAGGAGTATCAGTCAGGTATATTTTAGGATGCCCTTCAGTTGGGGTTTGTCTGATGTTTTTCTGGCTGAAGTTAATGGTTTTTTGGGAGAAAGATCACAGAGGTAAAGTGCCATTTCCTTCACATATTAAGTGTACATACAAGCAACATGATTTATAACAGTTTATGTTGACCTTGATAACTGACTGAAGGAGTGTTTGTCAGATTTCTCCACCGTTAAGTTACTCTTTTTCCCTCTTCTTTCCATATACTCTTTGGAAAGAAATCACTATCTGCTGCTCATACTCAAGGAAAGGGAAGTTATGCCTGCCTCTTTTACAGTGAAGCATCTACATACTGTGTTTGAAATTATTCTTTAAGAAAGGTTTGTCTCTTCTCCCCCATTTATTAACTTAAACATTTATTTATATCAGTATGAAATCTTGGATATTTATTTTACATGGGGTTATAATTAAAAATTTTTGTTGCTCAAATGATTCCAATTTTGACCATTGGGAGCTCTTGCAGTTGGCTCCTATGCCCCCATCGATGATTTTGTGTGTGTGAGCAATTTCTTACTTTGTGACACTACAAGATACTTAACCTTGTGTATTTGCTGCCCCAGTCCTAGAATCATCCATTTCTTTCAGGAGCCCTGCTTTTTTTATTGGACTACCAAGATCTGGGTGCTAGGTTTGCTCCATATTTCAGACTTTGAAAACATTAAAAATGTAGAAATTAAAATAAAAAAGTTCCGTCACCAAGATAGGTCAGACCACAAACTCCAGCCCTTGGTTTAGAATTATTGAGAACGATGACCTGGTCTCAGTGTTGTTATCACCTTGGTTTACAATTGAATCAGCTAACAAACAGGACAACATAACATATATGAGATCAAGGATGCAAGAAAGTGGATATATCTTCCTGGTAATCATATAATCAGTAGGTTATGTCCAGGGAATATTCACTATTAAGCAGAACTTCAAAAAAATTATTTTAATAGAGTATTTTTTGAGCAGTTTTAGGTTCACCACAAAATTAAGTGGAAAGTACAGAAAGTTCCCATATATTCCCCCTCCCCAACATACACACAGCCCCCTCCCCAGATTGTCAAAATTCCCCACCTTTGTTACAATTGATGAACCTACACTGACACACCATTATTAAAGTCTATAGCTTACATTAGGGCTCACTCTTGGTGGACATTCTATGGATTTGGATGATGCATTTGCATGATGACATGTATCCACCATTGAAGTGTCATGCAGAGCAGTTTCACTGCCCTAAAAATCCTCTGTGCTCTCTGCCTATTCATCCCTCCCTCCCCATAATCCCCTATCAACCACTGATCTTTTTACTATTGCCATAATTTTGCTTTTTACAGAATGTCATACAGTAGATAGCCTTTTCAGATTGGCTTTTTCACTTAGTAATATGTATTTAAGTTTCCTCCATGTCTTTCATGGCTTGAGAGCTCGTTGCTTTTTACTGTTGAATAATATTCCATTGTCTGGCTCAGAACTTATTTTTGCTTGCCCAGAGTCAGAAAGATTTTTAAATACCCAATACTTTCCTTGACATTGAAGATAAAAACAAAAATGGCAGGTTCCCAGGCCTCAAACCACTTTAAACCTAACAAAGATTGTAAATCAGGGAGGTAGGTGTTGCCTTATTTAACATATGGGTTCAATTCATATTAGAGGGACCTGACATTGATAATGGTTTATACAGTGGAGTTCAGTCTCTTTCTATATAGGTGACCTGCCATCCTCAGCGTATGGCTTCTGTCTTGTGGAAAATGGCTGCTCCATTTTCCAGCATCATGCCTGTACATCAGCCAGCAGAAGAGAGAAGGAGAAAGGGGAGGGCATACTTCTCATTTGAACTCATGTCCTGTGTGTTACACACCTCATTCTGCTCACATCCCATTGGCCAGAACCTATTCATGTGGCCACACATAACTGCAAAGGGAGTTGAAAATGTCTGTAGCTTGATAGTTGGGTGCCCAGTTAAAAGATCGATTACTATACTAAAGGGGAAAAATGGATTCTGAGGAACATTAGCAACTTTGCCACAGTCTTGGTCTGTCTGCCCGCTATAGGCATCCTTTCTATTTGCAGAACACGCTTATCCTTCCCTAAGAAGACAATCCCATCCAGTTTCTGCCTCCAGCCACAGACTGAACCTACCTTCCAAAGCCATCTTTCCTCTATCTGCATGAAAACTTAGCCCATCTTAGTCCATCTTGTGCTTTTATAACAGATTACCTGAGACTGAGTAATTTCTAAAGAACAGAGATTGATTTCTTATAGTTCTGGAGGCTGGAAAGTCCAAGGTCAAGGGACCCATATCTGGTAAGGGTCTTATTGCTGCACCATCACATGGGGGAAGGTGGAAGGGCAAGCATGCCTACAAATATGCCGGGGGGTAGGGGGGAAGACAAGGGATCAAACTCATTCTTTCATCAGGAAACCACTCCTACAATAACTAACCCACTCCTGCAATAACAGCATTAATCCATTCATGAGGTCACCTCTTAAAGGTCCCACCTCTCAACATTGTTACATTGGGGATTAAGTT